TTATGACTTTAGTTTCTTTTACCCTGCTAGCCCCTTCCTTTTAATACCCCTCTCTCTCTCTCTCTTTTAAGGCTTTTGCCATCCAGTGTGTGTGCTCCTCAGAGAGAGGCAGTGAGAAGGAAGGCAAGAAATCAGTACCCGGGGGAATGGCCGTGTCACTATCTCTTCTCCTCCATGCTCCTGGGGCTTTGGGCACACAGGCATATGCGCCCAGCGTGAGTTTCAAGCTGCTGGGCCCAGGACTCGAACCACAGTTGGCCATGCAGGAGTTTAGCACCTTAACCACTATGCCACCTGCTTGCCCCAGTAAAAATGTTTTTGACCTTGTGTCTCCTCTTGCTATAATCATGTTCTATACTCTTCCTTAACAATGTAGCAGGATGCTTTTGATTATAAGTTACAGAAAAAACACTCTGACTTAAACAAATAATCTACTGGTTCCTGACTGAAGGTCCAGAAGCAGGTCTAGCCGTGGGTAGGGCCTGATTCAGTCATTCAAACCCTGACTGCCCAACTCAAGACCTGGATCCATGACTTGAAAATCAAGCTGGGTGCACATGTGCTGGCCCAAAATCTTGAGAGAATGGAAGAGAAGGAATTGTGTGGTCATCTCCCCGAGGGGTGATTTTTCATTTTCTCTCTCTCTCTCTCTGTCTCTCTCTGGCCAAAGTATGCACCCTACAGCCACAGCAACAACACAAAGCAATTCAGGATGAGATTTGTAAAGATGCCACAGAGGCAACAGGTGTTTCTTAACTCCATGTCTGGAGGGATTGTGATAGAGCCTCTCTGGATTGTGATTGTAATTTTAAAGTAGGATAAATTTCCACATTCTGAAGTGATTTTTGTGCTGCTATATTGGTGGGGCATGGGATTTGGCTTGCATCAAGTCACCTGACAGGAATCATAAAGAACCTGTCTACGTCTTGATAATTATATTAAAGTACCATCACCAAATACCTAGCCTCAGCGCTGTAGTTAGAAAAAATATCTCAAAAGAGGGTCAGCAGGCACCATAGTGGTTAAAGCACTGGAGTCCCACATGGCTGAGTCCCGGACCCAGCCACTTGAAAATCATGCCAGGCATGTGTGTGTATATGCCTAAAACCTAGGAAAAGAATAGGGTAGAAGGAATTATAGCATGGCCATCCACCAGGAGGTCATTTCTCACTTTATCTCTCACTGTCTCTTTCTGGTGAACATGCACGCCTTATGACAAAAGTCTTAAAGAAAAAAAATAAGAGAGAGAGGGACAAATTGTTTTGCTCAATGGAAAATGCACTTAAACACTGTCAGATCTTCCTAATTATGTGGCCCTCTTCAGCTAGTCTGTGTCTGGCTTCCCCACTAGGAGGGGATAATAAGCCCTGGCTCTCAAGTCAACCCCACTTCTTATTGTAGATGAATAAATGAACACCTGTGATCAAATGGCTAGGAAGGGGAGGAGCAAGAATGTTGAGCAGAGAAATCATTAACTCAGTTATGAGGAGGAATGTGTGTATTTCAGGCAGATACTGCCTGGGAGGAGAAATTGAAAACAAGAATGAATAGTATAGAGCCAGTGAGAGGCATTGTGGTTGAGGTGGCTGTGTGGTTTGAGTCCCAGACCTGGTGGCTTGGAAAACATAGTGGGTGAATGTGCCTGCATACCCAAAATCACTAGAGGAGAATGGAGGAGGGGATTGTGGTGTGTTCATTTCCTGGGGGAGCGAAGGGGAGTGTTTTCTCACTTTCCTTCTCTGTTTCTCTCTAGTGAGTGCATATACCATATAACAAATTTTTTTTAAAAAAAAGAATAATATAGAGTAGGAAATTGTGGAGGGCTTCAGATTTATGCAGTGGCATAACTAGAGGCCAAAGGAATGTGGTGTTTAGCACTGGGTGCCACATTTGAAAAATGAAAACTTATGGGCCCACAGGTGGTGTGGTGGTTGAGGCTGGACTCCCACATGGTCAACTGTGGTTTGAGTTCTGGACCTAGCGGCTTGCTTCATCATTCTCTCTCTATCTGTCTCTCTCTGGCCAAAGTATGCACCCTACAGCCACAGCAACAACACAAAGCAATTCAGGATGAGATTTGTAAAGATGCCACAGAGGCAACAGGTGTTTCTTAACTCCATGTCTGGAGGGATTGTGATAGAGCCTCTCTGGATTGTGATTGTAATTTTAAAGTAGGATAAATTTCCACATTCTGAAGTGATTTTTGTGCTGCTATATTGGTGGGGCATGGGATTTGGCTTGCATCAAGTCACCTGACAGGAATCATAAAGAACCTGTCTACGTCTTGATAATTATATTAAAGTACCATCACCAAATACCTAGCCTCAGCGCTGTAGTTAGAAAAAATATCTCAAAAGAGGGTCAGCAGGCACCATAGTGGTTAAAGCACTGGAGTCCCACATGGCTGAGTCCCGGACCCAGCCACTTGAAAATCATGCCAGGCATGTGTGTGTATATGCCTAAAACCTAGGAAAAGAATAGGGTAGAAGGAATTATAGCATGGCCATCCACCAGGAGGTCATTTCTCACTTTATCTCTCACTGTCTCTTTCTGGTGAACATGCACGCCTTATGACAAAAGTCTTAAAGAAAAAAAATAAGAGAGAGAGGGACAAATTGTTTTGCTCAATGGAAAATGCACTTAAACACTGTCAGATCTTCCTAATTATGTGGCCCTCTTCAGCTAGTCTGTGTCTGGCTTCCCCACTAGGAGGGGATAATAAGCCCTGGCTCTCAAGTCAACCCCACTTCTTATTGTAGATGAATAAATGAACACCTGTGATCAAATGGCTAGGAAGGGGAGGAGCAAGAATGTTGAGCAGAGAAATCATTAACTCAGTTATGAGGAGGAATGTGTGTATTTCAGGCAGATACTGCCTGGGAGGAGAAATTGAAAACAAGAATGAATAGTATAGAGCCAGTGAGAGGCATTGTGGTTGAGGTGGCTGTGTGGTTTGAGTCCCAGACCTGGTGGCTTGGAAAACATAGTGGGTGAATGTGCCTGCATACCCAAAATCACTAGAGGAGAATGGAGGAGGGGATTGTGGTGTGTTCATTTCCTGGGGGAGCGAAGGGGAGTGTTTTCTCACTTTCCTTCTCTGTTTCTCTCTAGTGAGTGCATATACCATATAACAAATTTTTTTTAAAAAAAAGAATAATATAGAGTAGGAAATTGTGGAGGGCTTCAGATTTATGCAGTGGCATAACTAGAGGCCAAAGGAATGTGGTGTTTAGCACTGGGTGCCACATTTGAAAAATGAAAACTTATGGGCCCACAGGTGGTGTGGTGGTTGAGGCTGGACTCCCACATGGTCAACTGTGGTTTGAGTTCTGGACCTAGCGGCTTGCTTCATCATTCTCTCTCTAGTCAAATTTAAGAAGTAATAATAATAAAATCAATAAATACTTTTTTAAATGGAAATTTTTTTGTCCAGAATAGCGTGATCAGTAGACTGAATGTAAGTTGTATAAGGACAGTAACTATCAGGGTTTTATTGGGTTAGGAAAGAAGGAGTGGGACTAGCAGTTAGCGTAATGGCTATGTGGCTGGACTCCCACGTAGCCGACCGTGGTTCACGTCCTCGACCCAGTGGCTTAAAAAACTCACGCGGGGTGCACGTGCGTGCGTTCCCAAGATCCTGAGAGGAGAATGGAGGAGAAGGGATTGCTGCGTGGCCATCCCCCCTTGGGGGGTGATTTCTCGCTTTCTGTCTCTCTGTCTCTCTCTGTCTGTCTGGCAAGCACATGCACCCTATAGCAAAAACCTCTCCAAAAAAAAAAAAAAAAAGGAAAGGAAAGAAGGAGTAAAAGATCAAAGATTAAAGACAGCAAAAAAATTCAATAGGACTCAGGGTCGCTGAGAGGATATTTAAAGAAGAGAAGCCAAGGACAGCCAAGGATTTCCAGTTTCAAAGGATGTGGACACTCATAGCAATATGGAAAATATGAGGCGTTCATATGGGAACCATTTCAGATTTGAGATGCTAGCTCCACACCTGGAACTAGTATAAGAGGTTGAAATGTATGCTCAGGTTTAGAAAAAGAAATTAAATTGCCTGTAGATAACTCATATAGGAAATTTAGAAAAGAAGACGCAGGCTGGGCTGTAGAGAGGGCCCAAGCTTTAAAGTGTGGGAAGAGAAGAAGGAAGATGGGGAATGTTGGACGAGTTAAGTATAAAGTCTAGAGGGGACAAAGCAGAATTTCAAGAAGGAAGATGAGGTAATGTGAAATGAATGATGGAAGAAATATGGAAACGGCAACTGTAGAGTGCTCTTTGGGAACCTTGAGAATAAGTGTTAAGGGCTATAGGGTCTCAGATTCGTTTTAGCCTTATAATTTCTCCCAGTGCTACGCTAGGTTCTGGAGAAAGGAAGGATAGCATAGTTCTGAACCCCAAAAATTTGCAGCCTGGCGGAGGAAGTGAGAAGTAAATGAGTAAGACAAAATGTTGAGCGCTTTCACTAAGGAGTGACACTGAATACAATAGAAGCCCTGTGGAGTTAGCGACCCCGCGGGGCTGGACTGGAGAAGGACTGACTTGATGGGTTGTCCGCGTGCGTGGTGGGCCTCCAAAAGGGTCACTGGGGGCAATTTCCGCTGAACCGTTTTTCGGAAAACACGGACAGCTCCTGAGGGACTGCTGCGAGATGAGGAACGTGGTGATCGAGGCGCTGGCGCAGGGGCGTTAGCTGTCACTGGATCCTACTTGAAAGATACATGGATAGCGTCTGCAGCCAAGGATGCAGAAACGAAAGGCGAAAAACTTCTCTAGATTCCCCCCAACCCCCTTTCTCACATAGGGCAGAAAAGATCAGGAGATATAGAAGCTGGGCCTTCTGGAGACTGGGCGGACTAAAAGCTTCGCTTCGCACGGCAACGGGATTTAACGCTACACTTCCCAGACCTCCGTCCCCACCCGGAACTCTGGTTCCCTAACACCGAGTTTGACGCCGGAAGGGGAAAACAGATGGACCTACACGGGAAAAGTTGAGAACCCGGCCAGAAAGAGCAGGTGACACCGACGGAAGACACGCTCGGGCTGCGGGGAAGTAAGAGGTAGCCCCGGCGGAGGTTGGTATCCGGCGGTCTTGGAAGGCAACACAGCTTTGACAGGTGAGGGTTGAGGGGACCACCCCACTGCGGCAATGCTCACTGTAGCCCCTACTTTTATAAGTGAAGTGATAAAATCAGTTGACTCAGGTCCTAAAATGAATTCATCGAATATTTTATTAAACTATTGTTTCTTTAAAAATCCAGCAGAAAAATTTGCTTCAAAGTTGACACAGCCTTTTGAGAGAGATTTCAGCAGATATTTGAATTATTTTTGGGTTGATCATCAGTTCCATGAAGATGAGGCATGTGTTTTTATTCATGTTGGCAGTTTTCACAGTGCATAATACAGTGCCCTGCTTGTAATAGGCACTGGGTAAATGCTTATAAGTGAACGGGGAGCAGCAGATGGCGTAATGGTTATGTCGCTGGACTCCCACCTAGTTTGAGTCCCAGACCCCATGACTTAAAACTCATGCCAGGCACATGTGCGTGTCTGCCCAAAATCACAAGAGGAGCTGGGATTCCCGTTTGGTGTGTGATTTCTTGCTTTTTGTCTCTGTCTCTCCAGTGAGCGCATGTACCCTATAGCAAAACAAACAAACAAACAAAAAACCTCTAAAAAAATTTAAGAAAAAAAGTGAATGAATTTCATCATGATGTTGAGTTTAAAATTGTAATGCATTCATTTCCACAGTGGTGACTCTCCAGTGTTTCTTCTCTTATAGGTGGAATTGTGCTTTTCCTTGAAACTTTGTTCCCTTGTATCCCAGGGAACAATTTACATTTTGGCTGTTTCTTACCATGGCTTTTGTTTACAAACTGTTGAATGGCATTTACATTCTCAGAAGATGCCCGAAACCAGGTGCTGCCTTGCATCCATTTTTGGGTGTTCACTGTGCAGACTACTGTTCCAGTAGTCTTCACAAACCAGAGTCTACTCCTAACAAAGCCTCTTCTCAAGGGAAGACTGAAGGGGGGTTGCAAGGACATGACCGGAAAGAAGTTGCTTTGGATGTAACTTCTCCAGAGGAGAAGCTTGAAGTTAGTTTTGACAAAGCAATTCAGAATGAGATAAAGGACCATTTAAGGTATTTGAAAGATGAAATTGTGAATCGTTGGATTGGGCCAGTAGGCCGCTCTCTGAATGAGGTCTTGCTGGAACAAGCCAAGGTCGTCTGGCAGTTCCGTGGGAAAGAAGATTTGGATAAGTGGATAGTGACTTCTGATAAGAAGATTGGAGGCAGAAGCGAAGTGTTCTTGAAAATGGGCAAGAATAACCAAAGTGCTCTGCTCTATGGAACTCTGAGCTCAGAGACTCCACATGATGGGGATAGTACCCAGAGTGGGTACTGTGCAATGATATCCAGGATTCGAAGGGTAGGTGAGGCCCAGGACACATAATGTTCTAGTAAACAGGGGTGAAAGTCCCTGTAGTTCGAATTACAGCAGACAGCTTTTGTTTCTGTAAGTGAAAACACCTGGCATGTTACATATGGGCCACTCACCTGTGTAGGGGGATAAATGATTATTCTGCACAAGTGTAAAGTGGGAGCACGAGGGAGAAGCAGTCCTGAGGAGGAGTGATTTGGCACACTTTGGGCCAAGGAGCATTGTACATTTGAGGAATCCTGAGAGGTTAGACATTTGAAAGATATCTCGGGAGATTTGCATTTTTTATGACATAGATCACAACTCTTATAATAACCAAGGTTCTTTAAAGGAGACGAAGGGTCAACCTCTGTGTGTGTGTGTTTGTGTGTTTGTACTTTTAATTTTAGAATAGTGTAGATTTATAGAAAAATTGTAATGGCAAGTCTGGCTTCCTGGCCTAGTGGCTAAGGGAGCTGGCTCCCATGTGCCCAACTACATGGTTCAAATCCTGGCTCTGGTTGCTTGAAAAACCAGAGCACTGCTGAGCACTGGTGCACACATGCCAAAAATCTCAACAGGATAAAGAAATGGAGGAAAAGGGATTGTGGTATGACCATGCTCCATTGAGGCACTTTCTCCTCCCTGTCTCTCTCTTTCTGGCAGTGCACATGCCCTCCGGCAAATTAAACAAAACAAAAACTTGAGCTCTATTTTTCATAGTTATTTGGCTTCAGGGAAAGTAGTTGTTATAAAATGGGCCACTCTGAAGCCTTTGCACCTAGGACCAGGGAAAGAAAATTCATTGATTTCCATTCACTGAACTAAGTAAGTGTCGGTCCCACGGAAACACTGTCCTGGGCCAGTTGTGGCTTTAACATATCTTAGAAATGTATAACCATGTCAGTATTTTGTGTTAAAAATGATTATCAGGTTCATCTGCCTTTTTATGGTTGTGGAAAGTCAAAAAAGACAGAAAAGTGGGGTGGGCAGGTGGTGTGGTGGTTAAAGGCACTGGACTCCCACATGGCCAACCACTGTTCAAGTCCTGGACCTGGTGATTTGCCTTCTCATTTTTTCTCTCTCTCTTGCTTTCTCCCTCTCTGATCAAATTAAAATAAAAAAAAATAAATAAAGTTAAATAAAATAATTCTTTTTTTTTTTTAGTTTTTTTTTTTTTTTTTTAAGAATTATTTTATTAGGACCAGCAGTTAGCATAATGGCTATGTCACTAGACTCCCATGTAGTTGACCGCAATTCGAGTCCCGGCCCTGGTGGCTTAAACTCATGCCAGGCGCATGTGCATGTGTGCCCAAGATCCCGAGAGGAGAATGGAGGAGAAGGGATTATGGTGTGGCCATTCCCCCTGGGGGTGATTTCTCGCTTTCTGTTTCTCTGTCTCTCTCTGTCTTTCTGGCAAGCACATGTGCCCTATAGCAAAAAAAAAAAAAAAAAAAGACAGAAAAGCAGTTAGTAGGTCTTTCTTATGCTGCTCACTTCTTGCTGAATGTGGAGGAGAGTGAGGTAAAGTTAACTTTTCTTTCCATACCTCAGGGGCCATTTGAGAGGAAGAGGCCTCATGACTGGTCTCAGTTCAACACTTTGTATCTCCGCGTCCGTGGTGATGGCCGGCCCTGGATGGTGAATATCAGGGAGGACACGGATATAGTCCAGAGGAAGAATCAGATGTTCAGTTACTTCATGTTCACTCGTGGGGGCCCTTACTGGCAGGAAGTCAAGGTAACAAACTTCAATTTTCTATTTATAAAATTGAAGTTTTTTGAGATTATGATTATATGATACTTTCTTTTCTTTCTTTTTTTAACTAATCTTTAGCAGATGGGAATGGAGTAGGTAGAAGGAAGGGGACTGGGGACTTCAGGGAGAGAAATAAATTATTTTCCTTTTATTACTACAAATGTTAGTTTCTAACCAGTAAATTTGTTTTTTTTTTCTCCCTTTTTGGACGAGGGGGATGGTTTGAGAGCCTATGTGCTCACCAGAGAGAGACCTAGAAAGGCGGAAGAGGAGAAAGCAGTGTCCAAGGGGTGTGGTCATGTTGCAGTCACTTCTGCCATTTCTCCACCCTTTTGGGATTTGGGGCATGCATGAATATGCATCTGGCATGTTTTTCAAGACACAGTGGCTAGGACTTGAACCACAGTTGGCTATGTGGTATCTATCTCCCTTACCCGCGAGGCCATGGTCATGGCTCTAACCAGTAAATTTTTTTTAAAGAATTGTTTTATTTAACTTTATTCATTTATTTATTTGACCAGAGGGACAGAGTGAGAGAGTGAGAGGGAAAGTGAGAAAGGAAGCCACCAGATCCAGGACTCAAACCTCAGTTCGAAGAGGTTCACTCTACCTGGACTCAGCCATGTGGGAGTCCAGCGCCCAACCTCCACACCACCTGCTGGTCCTGCTGTATTCATTTTCTGTTGCTCCATAACAAACGATCACAAACATAGCAGCTTAAGGAATGCCTAAGCAATGTGTACCTTTTAGCTCACGGTTCTGTGTAAGTAGGAACACAGTGCGCTTGAGTTTCATGGTCAGGTTCTGAAGTCAAGGTGCATTGCTGGGCTGTATTCCTTTTCTGAATCTCTGGGGAGAGTCCACTTCCCAGGTCCTTCTGGTTGTGAGCCAGATTCAGTTCCTAGTGATTGTAGAATTGATGTCTGTGTCCTTGCTGGCAGTCAGCTGGGGCCACTCAGCATCTCCCTGCTGCCTGCGTTCCCTGGTATAGTTGCCTTCATCTTCAGAGCTAGCAATGGAGAATCTTTCTCCCATTGAATCCCTCTCATTCTTCTAATGTCTTTCACCCTATTATGGGCTCAAGTGATTGTCAAGCCTACAGAGGATAATCTCCCTCTACATCTTAAGATCAGTTGATTTGGAAGTTTAATTATATTAACAAAATAATCCCTCTATAGCATCACTGTGATTTGTGTTTGATTGAATACCTGGGAGGTGTGTGTATACAGGGGTTAGAAATCTCAGGGCCATCTTAGAATTCTGCTTACTACATGGGACCAGCAGATGGTGTAATGGCAATGTCACTGGACTATCATATAGTCGGACCATGGTTTGAGTCCAGGACCTGGTGGCTTAAAACTCATGCCAGGCACATGTGCATGTGTGCCCAAGATCCCAAGAGGAGAATGGAGGATAAGGGATTACAACATAGCCATCCTTCCGGGGGGTGTGTGTGTGTGTGTGATTTCTCACTTTCTGTCTCTCTGGCTAGCTCACATGCCCTATAGCAGACATTTCTCTTAAAAAAAAAACGTTGGGGCTAGCAAGTGGCATAGTGATTAAGGGGGCTGGACTTATACAAGGCTGTGGTTTGAGTCCCAGACCTAGAGGTTTGCTTTCTCACTTTCTCTCTCTCTGTTCCTCTCTGGTTAAAATACATACATACATACATACATAAAGATAAATAATTTTTTTTTAAAAAGAATTCTGTCTACTATAACTGCCAGCTGCCCTCTAAAGGAGTTGTGTTGTTTGTTTAATCTTTTTCTTAGCTGTTTATAAAAGCTGTGTTTCTACTAATCTCTTGTCCATAACTGTTATAGATATCTTTTTCATAATTTATCCTTTGTTGTTTGCTATCAGTTTTATTTATTTAATTTTTTTTTTTTGGGGAGAGATTTTTGCTATAGGACTTGTACACTTGTCGTAGAGACAGGGAGAGACAGAGAGACAGAAAGCAAGAAATCACCTCCTAGAGGGGATGGCCATGCCACAATCCTGTCTCCTCCATTCTCTTCTCAGGATTTGGGGCACGCACACATTAGATGTGAGTTTTAAGCCGCTAGGTCCCAGACTCCAACCACAGTCAACATGGGAGTCCAGCGACATGACCATTATGCCATCTGCTGATCTCTCAGTTTTATTTTTTGATCCTAATGGCTAGCCACTTGTTATAACTGACTCTATTAAATAACTAGCATTAAATTTAAACTACTATCTTTTTTTTTTTCTTAGAGGTTTTTGCTATAAGGTGCATGTGCTCACCAGAAAGAGACAGAGAGACAGAAAGTGAGAAATCACCCCCTAGAGGGGATGGCCACGCCACAATCCCTTCTCCTCCATTCTCCTCTCGGGATCCTGGGCACGCACACACATGTGCCCAGCATGAGTTTAAGCCACTGGGTCCGGGACTCGAACTGTGGTCGACTACATGGGAGTTCAGCGACATAGCCATTATGCCAACTGCTGGTTCCTAAACTTCTATCTTTTATCATTTCGGTTTCATACAAATGCCTCAATTGCATATGTTCCAGCTGTGAAATAAATGGTTTCTTCTTTCAGATTCCTTTTTCCAAATTTTTCTTCTCTAATCAAGGAAGAATCCGGGATGTTCAGTCCAAGCTTCTGCTTGACAAGGTAACATTTTCCTCTCCTTTTGACTCAGAACTGTGTCGTCTTTATGAAATAGAACTCCTGTGAGGATGAGTTCAGTTCATTTGGAAGGCTGGCAGATGAAAGGTGGGCATTCCTACTCAGAGCCACCCCGTTCCATGCACAAAGGTCTCCACTCAGACTTGTTCTGTGAACTGCATCCCCATCTTGGATGAATTCTAGCATGGGACCCTTGTCAGCATGCCTACATTTTACGTTAGCTTTAAAGTCAGAGTTAAGGAGAACTTCAAGGAACCTCTTAGGCTTCCATGCTGTCCTTACTAGTCTGAACATGGCGCTGCCTAGAGGGGAAGGGAGCGGAAGTAGAATGCGGACAGGAAAGTAGTCTTCTGCATCCTCTCATTGTTACTGTGTACTTGCTAAGTGCTGATCACTATAAAGACTCATAGGGGATTTTAAAACCTCAAGGCATCTTTAAACTTGAGAAAGAAAATCTATACTTCAAATGTTAATCAATTTTCTCTATTTTAAATTTAGATCTCTTCCATAGGCTTCACCCTGGCTGATAAAGTAGATGGTCCATTCTTCTTGGAAATAGACTTTATTGGAGTGTTTACTGATCCAGCCCACACAGAAGAATTTGCCTACGAAAATTCCCCAGAGCTTAGCCCAAGACTTTTTAAATAGAAAAGATCACGTCGTAGTGTATTATTAAATAACTTGTAGTAGCATTCATGATGACAAAGATAAAAATAAAGTATTTTTTTCATGGGACAGGGACTGGTGTGTATTTCCTAAGACAAGGCTAAATGCCGTTGCCGATCGGGACCAGACGAGGGGAGCACGGCACGAGAGCAGGCTCCGTGCTGTGCTGTGCTCACATTACGCAAGGGCTGAGGCGGAGGCACTCCGACAGGTTACTGTGCGTCATGCCAGTGGCTGCTGTGACGAGCATTTCCGACTGACAGGCAGTTTCCAAAGCAAGAAGTCTCTGAGGTAACTGTTGGTGGCCTTCTACTGCTCTATACCCCCAAGGTTCTTCAGCTTTCTAGTCCGTCTTGGAGGAAAGAATCCTTGCTAAGGAATATTAAGATAAAGATGCTGGGACCAGCCAGTGGTGTGGTGGTTAAGGCTGGATTCCACGTGGCTGATTGCAGTTCTGATCCGGTCACTTGAAAAACAGTTCGGGTGCGTGTGCTGTGTGCACATGCCAAAAATCCTGAGAGGAAACGGAGGATGAGAGATTATGGCATGGCCCCTCCCCTGAGGGGTGCTTTCTCACTTTCCCTCTCCCTGTCTTTTTCTACTGAAAGCACATACCCTATAGCAAATTAAAAAAAAAAAAAAAGCTGTATGAGTCACTGGAAAATGCAGTACCTACTTAGAGAGATTGACATCCTCCAAAGAGGCATGCTCCTTACTAGTTCCTACTTTATAGTGACTTGTGTAAGCACTGGAGAAATTAAAAATTTTAGACTACTGTCTCTTTTTTTTTTTTTTTTTTGAGAGGGTTTTTTTTGAGAGGTTTTTGCTACAGGACACGTGCACTTGCCAGAAAGACAGAGACAGACAGAGAAATAGAAAGCGAGAAATCACCCTTCAGCAGGGATGGCCACGCCACAATCTCTGCTCCTCCATTCTCTTCTCAGGATCTTGGATATGCATGCACACACGCCCGGCCTGAGTTTAAACCACCGGGTCCAGGACTCGAACCATGGTTGGCTATATGGGAGTCCAGTGACATAGCCATTACACCAACTGCTGTCTATAAACTGTCTATAAAGCTTCCCCAGGCTCAGCAGTTATATAGAAAATCCTGATTGACACAGGGTCCTGAGTGATGACAGTGGTGGCACCAGAGGAACAAATTGGAAGTCTGAGTTTAGGTGGCTGCCCTGGAGCCCCTCCCACAGTCATTCCCTGGGGATGGCCACACTGCAATCCCTTCTCCTCCATTATCCTCTATCTTGGGAACGCACGCACACGTGCCTAGCACGAGGCAGGTTCAGGACTTGCACCACGGCCGACTACATGGGAGTCCAGTGATATAACCATTACGCCAACTGCTGGTCTCCCCTTCAGGATTGTTTTGGCTACCTGTATTTCTATATGAATTTTGTCAATTTCAGCAAAAAAGCTAGTTGGGATTTTAATACAGTTTGCATAGAATCTAAAGGTATTTGGGGAGTTTGTTTTATTTTTTGCCATAGGGCTTGTGCACTCCTCAGACAGTGAGAAGGAAAGTGAGAAATCACCCCCAGCAGGGATGGCCATGCTACAATCCCTTCTCTTCCTGGAATTTTGGGCATGTATGCAAAGACACCTAGCATGATTGTTAAGCCACCAAGTTTGGGACTTGAACCATGGTCGGCCATGTGGCAGTCTAGTGCCTTAACCACCATGCTACATGCTGCCTTAGGAGCAGTTTTATCTTTAATTAATTAATTATTATTATTACTTTTGTTTGCTATAGGGCAAAACAGAAGTAATAATAATATTTATGCATTTACCAGAAAGAGACGGGGGTGGGAGGGGATAGCGAGAAAGCAAGCCACCAGGTCCAGAACTTGAACGGTGATTGGCAATGTGAGAGTCCACCGGCTCAACCACCATGCCACCTGCTGGCCCCACATTTTTATCTTAATGTAAATCTTTCAATCTGTAGATATATCTATTTTTTATTTCTTAAAAGAGATTTTTGCTATAGGACGCGTGTGCTCACCTGAGAAAGAGACAGAGAGTGAGAAATCTCCCCCTCCCAGGGAGTGAGTCACGCTGCAATCCCTTCCCCTTGGGATTTTGGGCATGCGTGCATGAGCACATGTGCACACACACATACACACACACACACACACAGAGTGAGTTTTAAGCTGCTAGGTCCAGGACTTGAACCACAGTAAACTATATGGGAGTCCAGCAACGTAACCACTATGCCATCTGCTGGTCTCAAGATATCTATTTGTTTAGATCTTTAATTTCCTTTAGCAATATTTTATAGTTTTCAGTATACATCTTATACATTTGTTAAATTTATTCCAAAGTACTTTTAATACTTACACTTTTTGGTACTATTGTGCATGAAATTTTCATTTCTTTTATTGTTCATCGCTAGTGTACAGAAATATAATGATTGGATATTGATTTTGCATCCTATGATCTTTTATTTTTTAAGAATTATTTATTTATTTATTTTTCTCATGCACCCCCCCAGAGAAAGTGAGTGAGCAGGAAAGAGAGAAAGCAAGCTGCTAGATCCGAGACTTGAACCACGGTCAGCCACATGGGGAATCCAGCACCTCAACCACCATGACACTTGCTGGCCTGCATCCTATGATCTTAACTGAATTAATTCCAGCAGTTTTTTGATGAATTCCTTACAATTTTCTTTATGTAGGATATTTTCAAAACTTTTTAAATGGCTTTACTAAGAAATAAGTAAATATTATATGTGTACATTAATATGGTTAGCTTTTTTTTTTTTGGAGAGGTTTTTGCTATAGGGCATGTGCGCTCGCCAGAAAGAGAATGAGATGCCGCAATCCCTTCTCCATTCTCCTCTTAGGATCGTAGGCATGCACACACATGCACCTGGTGTGAGTTTAGGCCACCGGATCAGGGACTTGAATCACGGATGACTACATGGGAGTCCAGCGACATAGCCATTATGCCATCTGCTGGTGCCAATATGGTCAGCTTTTTTTTTTTTTTTTTTTTTTTAGTGTTTT